TCTTCCTGAGTTTCACTCGGGGGTCTGCTTCCCAAGGGGCATTCACCACAGCCTGTTCGTGACGCCATGTTACACCTTGGTTCGGTGATGTGGTGGGAGCCTCAAGGGTTAAAGCTGACTACCCAGTGAAAACAACTGGTTGATAGTGAAACTAATGATCTTTTTATTAAGTGGAATGATTCTTTTATCAAAACCAACAATTAGCAAATGGCTTTTTAAACTAACAATTGCCCAATGCTTTTACAGGGTAGAAAACTTAAACATAACTATACCTAACTGATTACAATTCCTTGCTTACAATTCACTTATATTAAATCACTATCTCTAATTCGCCTAAGGCAACGCAGCATACAAATGAAAAATACAAAAAACAAAGCCAAAATAATAATAATAATTATTAAAAAAGGCCACCCACAGCCAATCCTTCCAATGTTACTTTAGGACAGCTGGTGGAGTTAGTCATTGATTTTTACTGTTACAAGATAAAAACTCCTGGGTTTTTCTTCTAACACTTGTACCTGGACTAAAACATAACACTATCACATAACACAAAATCACACTATCTATACAATACAATTCATATAACTTGCTTATACCTCACAAGATTACAAGATATGATTAATGCAGCTTAACTACTGACTAAGCTAATAAATGTAAGTAATATACTTACAAATCCAGCAACGATAACAACAGGAAGACACACAAAAACTCGGAGCATGCTCAGGACTCTCGCACCCCTACTTCTACTCGGAGGGTGGGGAAGGTAACCTCAGGTTAATCAATCATTTAGCCAGGCAAAAAAAAAAAAACAAAAAAAAACACATGCCCTCAATACACGGAACCTCCGTCGAACAAAGGGGTAAAGGGTCTTTTATACAAAAATTTGATGTCTAATGTCATGCTAAGGTCTGCATTTGGCAGGGTCTGATAGGCTGGTAATGAGGTAATATGACAATACTGCCCTCTAGGAGTTTTCATGGTGCATGCATGATCCCCTCATGGACAGGACCAGATGGGGCATGGTCAGTGTGAGACAGTTGTGCTTTATTACCTTATGTTTATTTCCCTTGCCTCAAGGACCGGTCAAGCCACGGTCAAACAAGCCTTATCTCTTAGTATCTCATGGTCTGGGTTTTCTGTGAGGGGCCTTGTGTGGCAGGATAGGCTATACACGAAGGCCATGGTCAGAAAAAGCCTGCTTTACAACAATATGGATACATAGAATTAAATAATTGTTACACTTTATGCTGGAAATGAAAGATTCTGTTATTTAATGGGCTTGGTTCAGAGCGCTGTTTGTGCCCATATTGCTCCCTATTATCTAGGAAACAGGGTTTTAAATCTTTCAGTTGTTTCCATATCAGTTGTTTCCTTTCCTTCTTCAAAGCTGGGGCAGTTCAGCTCTGTGGAAGGCTGAGGGATGAAATCCTTCTGCAGATTTTATTCATTTATTTACCAGTCACTTGGGGAGGGGGCAGAAGGAGGCAGGGCCCCCCTCATAGGAAGAATTTCCGGCTTCCTCCCAGCCAACCCAGATAGAGAAGTGGAGGCCCCTGAGCCAGGGGAGCAAGTGGTGAAGTCACTCAGTTGGGCATCCACATTGGCCAGAAGCACAGCTCAAGAATGCTGAGTTCTTGCACAAGAAAGCGTCCACACTGGTGGGATACCCTTGAGTAATAACTTGGACCCAGAACAACGTTGGCCATGTCAAGAGGTCACCAGCAGCCTCTGTGGGCGTGCACCAGATCCCACAGAGAAACACACTTAAAGGGACCCCTGGACAACCATTTCCCTGTGGCTGCATGCTTAGGCACCTATTTGAGGGACTGAGCACCACAGCCGCGCCTGCCACCTCAGCCCCTGTCAAGTGCCTCTGGGCACCCTCACCCCCTTCTCCCCCCGTTACAGCTATGGAGCTGAAGGAGGACCCTAGCCAGCAGTGTCCCCTCTTGGCCATCATCGAGGCTGTGGAGCTCCTTCACCAGGGAGCCTCACTGCTCTAGCAGGAGCTGGAAACCGGGCAGCACTTGCAGGACCTCATCAATTGTGCAGCTGTGCTCGGGCACCTCACCCCACCATCGACAGGCACCTGTGGAGGCACAGCACCAGTGGGGACAATGGGGTGACCAGCAGTGGGTGCAGAACTTCCAGATGAGCAGGGGAACATTCCATGAGCTCACCCCTGCGCTTCGGAGGCAAGACACCTGCCTGTACCCTGCCATCCCCGTGGAGAAGAGGGTCTCTGGAAACTGGGCACCCTGGACAACTACCACTCCGTGGGGAACCAGTTCAGGATGGGCAGGTCCACTGTCAGCACAGCTGTCCGGCAGCTAAGGCCCACACGGGATAATGGGACCACCCCAGGAGAGGGAAGGGGCCAGACCAGGCAGGGGAGCTGTGAGGGTAGGAGAAAGCCCCGCACCAGGGGGCATGCCCTCACATAGCCCTACTGGTGGCGAGGGGGAATACCCTTGGGGGAGGGAGCCCTAGCATACATGTACCCACTGCGTCTTATTCCATGCATCCCCTGTGCTCCTATGTGCCCTCTTCAGGTTGTCTGCACCATCAATGATGTGCTGCTCCAGAGGGTCATCTGCCCCCGTGACCTTGCAGCAATATCTCTAGGCAGACTGTCCTGGCTGCCCCAGAGGGAGGCTCTGCTACTGCAGCAGCCACATGGTCCAGGACCAGCCCTAGAGATCAGAGGCACCACTGCTGCAGCCATTCAGCCCAGGGCCAGAGATGCTGCTGCCACAGCCATGCAGCCCAGGACCAGCCCCAGAGGCACCCCTGCCATGGCTATATGGCCCTGGAAGCACAAGATTCTATGGCTGTGGCCATGGGCTGGCCTTGGAGGCCAGAGGTTCAGTGGCAGCAGTGCCTCTAGTGCTGGCCTCCTGTTTTGTGGCAAACACTCAGCCCAGCACTACCTCCTCTCCAGTGGCTACACCAGTGATTCCCAACCTTTTTCCCATGGAGGAACCCCTAAAATAATTTTTCATATCCCGAGAAACCCCTATGAAAACATTTGGCTGGCCAGAAAAAGTTGACACCGGGAGTGCAATTCAATTACTGCTAAATTATTGTCAAGAAAATGTATTTGTAAAGAGCTGTTATATATATATGTCAGCTTACATTGTAAGAAAAAAATTGGAGAATTTTTCCTGTCTTTTTTATCTAATTTTTTTTTCAAATATCAAAATATCAAATCAAAATAAAGTTTACTTAAACATAAAAATAAGGATCACATCTAAAGTCAATATAAATTTTACTTTCAGTGTGACACTGAAAGTAGCCTTCAGCTTCCTGAAGGGAGGTTCCAAAGAGGATGAAGAAAAGCTGTTCTCAGTAATGACAGATGGCAGAACAAGGAGCAATGGTCTCAAGTTGCAGTGGGAGAGGTCCAGGTTGGATATTAGGAAAAACTATTTCACTAGTGATAGAAATGCAGCTGCGTTAGTCTGGTCTAGCTGAAAGAAAAGACAGGACTATGCAGCACTTTAAAGACTAACAAGATGGTTTATTAGATGATGAGCTTTCGTGGGCCACACCCACATCCTCAGATCAATACGTGGAAGAAAATTAGCACAACCATATATACCAAAGTGATACAATAAAAAAAGTAAATACATAAAATTGACGAATCAGATTTAAGAACAGAGGAGGGTGGGGGGGAAGGTTAGCATCTGTGAGGTAATGACATTAGGGGGGATAACTGGGGAAGCTATCTTTGTAATGAGTGAGATAACTAGCATCTTTGTTAAGACCCATACGTAAAGTGTCAAATTTAAGCATGAATGACAGTTCTGAGGCTTCTCTTTGAAGTCTGGAGTTAAAATCTCTTTGAAGCAATATGCATGTTTTAAGGTCATTGAGAGAATGGTCAGTCTGGTTAAAATGACAAGCAACAGTTTTCTCTTTATGAGAGAGACTGATGTCTGTTTTATGTACATTGATTCTTTGGTGAAGTGTCTGAGAAGTTTGTCCAATATACATAGCAGATGGACACTTTATGCACATAGTGGCATAAATTATATTTCTGGATGAACAGGATTATGTGTTCTTGATTTTGTAATTTGCACGGTTAGGTCCAATAATGGTGTCAGTAGAGTAAATATGTGGACAGCTTTGTCCACATATTTACTCTGCTGACACCATTATTGGACCTAACCGTGCCAATTACAAAATTGCACCGGGGTTTGTTGCAAGGGAAAGTTCCAGGGTTAGTATTAGTGTGGTAGGTCCTGTGGTTGTTGGTAAGAATCATCCTGAGGTTAGACGGTTGTCTATAGGAGACTATGAGTCTGTCTCCCAGAACCTCTCAGAGGGTATTATCCTGTTCCAGTATGGGTTGTAGTTTACTGAGAATGCATTGGAGGGGTTTAAGTTGGGGGCTATAGGTGATGACAAGTGGTGTTCTATTGTTGATTTTCTTGGGTCTGTCTTTACGTAGATGGTTTCTGGGTATTTGTCTGGCTCTTTCAATTTGTTTTTTTATTTCTCCGGGTTGGTAATTGAGGTTTATAAAAGCTTAGTAAAGATCCTGAAGTTTCTGGTCTCTGTTAGTGGGGTTAGAGCAGATGCGATTGTATCTAAAGGCTTGGCTATAGATGATGGATCATATGGTGTGTCCTGGATGGGAGCTGGAGGCATGTAGGTAACTGTAGGAGTCAATGGGTTTTCTGTAGAGAGTGGTGTCTAATTTACCATTGGTGATTTGTACTGTGGTGTCAAGGAAATTGATCTCTCGTGTACAATGGTCCAGGCTGAGACTGATGGTGGGGTGTAGGTTGTTGGTGGGGGTGTAAGTCTCTGTGGAATTGATGGTGGGGTGTAAGTCGCTGTGGAATGCATCCAGTGTTTCTTGGCCATGGGTCCAGATCACTACGAGAGTGGTGAAGCACTGGAATGTGTTACCTAGGGAAGTAGTGGAGTCTCCATTCCAAGAGATTTTTAAGTCTCGGCTTGACAAAGCCCTGGCTGGGTTGATTTAATTGGGATTGGTCCTACCTAGAGCAGGGGGCTGGACTCACTGACCTTCTAAGGTCTCTTCCAGCTGTATGGTACTATGATTTGGGGTTTCTTTTTGCACAAATGTTGAATTCTTGGCCAATTTTTTGACAAACACACTCGGAGTGCTTTCTAAACAGACAGCAGATGATTTCTTTCTTTGCTTTTAATGTTTGTAAAACATGAGAAAGCTTGTTCACAGAGGTAAGAAGTTGAAAACTGGAGTAAGATGTTCACTGCTTTTACTGAGATCACAGAATACTCTTCTTATTGAAATCCAAAACACATCAAGTGGCACTTCATTTAATTATATCTTTAAAATTCAATTACACTGTAGTTCAGTCAGTTGTTGTTCTTGCAGACTGTGTAAATTTTATGAGAACTCAACAAAAGGGTTCCTAAAACAGTCATATATTTCTGATGACAAAGGAGGAAAGTATTGGTCAAGCTTTTCTGTCAGGGATTCCAAATGACTGGTAATTAATGGGATGACTTCTTTATAATCTGTTTGACTCTGAAACTGAAGTAGGAGGGAAACATTTCAATATTTCCACTTGAAAGGTGTCTTTTCCAAACCTTGAGTTTATTCTTGAATGCAAGAAGTTTGTCTGTGGAAGTTAGAATGTATTCTTTTGAGCCCTGCATGGTGGTGTTCAACGTGTTTAAGTGCCGATAAATATCTGCTAAGTAGGCTAGTTTCAGTAGCCATTTTGTATCTTCAAGAAAGTTAGAAAAACTAGCTTTATTATCTTTGAAGAAAAGCAGTAGTTCCTCTCACAGCTCAAATACCTTTGTTAAAACGGTCCGTCTTAAAAGCCATCTAATATCGGTGTGTAGAAGGAGAGTCACATGGTCTTTTTGCATATTTTCACACAGCTTTGCAAATAGGCGTGACTTAAGAGGGTGCTGCTTTATAAAATTGACTATGTTCACAGATAGATTAAGGACTTGTTTTAAATCCTTCCCAATAGGTTTTGAAACAAGAACTTCCTGGTGGAGGAAGCAGTGGGTCGTTATGAGGGTTTTTCTTTGACGAGTGTAACAGTCTTTTATTAAGCTGATCATTAAGGGAGCATCATCAGTGCAAATTCCACTGCACTGGCTCCATGACAAACTACAGAATTCCAAATAAGACAAGATGTTGAAAAGGTCTTGATCTTTGGTTGTTTCTGGCAGCTCTTTACAACAACAAAAATTTTCCATTATTTCACCTTCGCTTTCAAATTGTATGAATGCTAACAGCTGAGCTTTACTTGTTATGTCTGTTGACTCATCAACTTAGAGAGCAAAGTTAGTATTTTTTAGTATTTCAGACAAGGTATTCTTCAATATCATGTGACATGTCATCCACATGCCTACCAATAGTACTATTAAAACCAGGAACTTTGTCAATTTCACTTTCAGCCTCTTCGCCTATCATTGTACTCACTATTATTTTACAAGCAGACGTTACTAGGCTTTCAGCAATAGTGTGACTTTTCATTTTTCGAGCAACTAGCTCAGCTACTAAATAGCTTACTTCTTGAGCCTTTCCACTGATAGTTAGCTTCTTCTAAAAAAAACTTTGTTGTTTTCTTTATGAATCCAAGTTGTTGAAAGTAATCAACTCTTTTATTTGACAAATGGCTGTGATTAGTAGTGAAGTGTACATTTAACTTAGCCAGGGCCATAGCTGTGTTAGTTTTCCCCCCGCAAACAACGCATAATGGAACGGGGCAATTTTCATCTCCAGTCCACGTAAAACCCATGGCCTAGTAACTGTCATTATAAAGGTGAATTTTTTAAATATCAGTCACTTCTCTTCCTGTTTCACTCATACTTGGCTCTGATCATTTTGATTCATTTACACTGTTCTCTCCTTCACTCTCCTTTTCATATACTTCCACATTTTTTTTATTTGACGGCCATATGAAAATACTGTTACGTAGGTGAGATTTTAGATACACGAAAACAACCACAGTTTCTGTAAAAATGTTAATTACAAAACCGCACAAAGACTACAAATCTACAAAACAGCGAACGACCATAACGTGCACTAGAAAAGACTAGAAACTCAGAGAATTCTGGGAAACAGAACGGAAGGCACAATACAACTAAATATAACTTTAGATACGAACTGACCAAAACAAAAAGGCAGTTGGTAGCGTACAAAGATTACTTCAGTATTGCCAATTGCTGGACAAATATTCCCACAATATTTTGAAGGCTATTTAGAATTGTTCGCAGTATTTCAAAATTGTTATTTATTTATTCCACAATTTCTCGCGGAACCCCTGATGATGGTCTGCAGAATCCCAGGGTTCCATGGAATACTGATTGGGAAACACTGGGCTACACAGTGGGAAGAGGAGACAGAGCTCAGCTCCTTCCCCCTCAGCACATGCCCATTTGGAGGTGGGGCCAAGCACTACCTTGTGGATAGGATCAAAGCCTTAGGTGGGCTGGATTCTGCCCATAGAGAAAATTTTGCTCACCACTATGATAGGGCTTCTCCCTTGTGTGCAACAAGGCTTGAACTCTCACTATAGCATTTCCAACCATCAGAGCAGTTAAAGGGTTTCTCTGTGTGGGTTCTGGATAACAAGATGTGACCTACAACTAAAACTTTTCCCAGTCAGAGCAGCTGAAAGGATTCTCCCGTGTGGGTTCTCCTATGTCTAACAAGACTTGAGCTCCGACTGAAGCTTTTCCCACAGTCAGAGCACCTAAAGAGTTTCTCTCCTGTATGAGATCTCCTATGTCTAACAAGGCTTGAGCTCCGACTGAAGCTTTTCCCACAGTCAGAGCAGCTAAAGGTTCTCTCTACTGTATGGGCTCTCTTATGGGTAACGAAGCTTGAGCTCCGACTGAAGCTTTTTCCACAGTCAGAGCAGCTGAAGGGTTTCTCTCCTGTATGAGATCTCCTATGTCTAACAAGGCTTGCATGCTGACTGAAGCTTTTCCCACAGTCAGAGCAGCTGAAGGGTTTCTCTCCTGTATGAGATCTCCTATGTCTAACAAGGCTTGAGCTCCGACTGAAGCTTTTCCCACAGTCAGAGCAGCTGAAGGGTTTCTCTCCTGTGTGGGCTCTCCTATGGGTAACAAGATGTGACCTCTGACTGAAGCTTTTCCCACAGTCAGAACAACTGAAAGGTTTCTCTCCTGTGTGGACTCGCCTATGGCTATCAAGGTGTGACCTCTGACTGAAGGTTTTCCCACAGGCAGAGCAGCTGAAGGGTTTCTCCCCTGTGTGGGTTTTCTGATGATTAATCAGGCTTTTGTTGTGACTGAAACCTTTCCGACAAACAGAGCAGCCGAAGGGTTGTTCTCCTGTGTGGGTTCTCCTATGGCTGTCAAGGTGTGACCGCTGACTGAAGCTTTTCCCACAGGCAGAGCAACTAAAAGGTTTCTCTCCTGTGTGGGCTCTCCTATGGATAAAAAGGTTTGACCTCCAACTGAAGCTTTTCCCACAATCAGAGCATTTGAAGGGTTTCTCTTCTGTTTGGGCTCTTTCATGTTTAATAAGAGTTGTATAGTCACTGCAAGTGCACGATGACTGTTGATGAGAGATTTTCTTTTGAATAGTTTCTGTGTTTGTTTTCAACCTTCTTCTCCTTTGACTGGATTTACTCTGTCTCACTCCTGGATGGTTTCCCTGCTGCCTTTGTAGGCTATGCTGACTCTCACAGGTCTCTCCTTGCTCAGGATTCTGAGAAACATGACCTTCAAATCTTCCCACTAACACCCCACATGGAGCCACTCGTTCAGGTCCATTCTGCTGAAGAGTCCTCTCACTGTTCTCATTCAGCATCCCAACACCTGCTGGGATAGAGAAAGGAGTCATTCTCTGTGCTGAGCTGAAAGAAAAATTCTGAACAGCAATAGAAAATGGGACGCACCCAAAGAATGGCTGGAAAGGTTCAATAATCATCAGCTGAGTTCACCCTGCTCCCCCATAACCCTTTCCCCACTCAGCACCCTCAGACTGGAGATAAAAACAGGCTGAAGGGTCAGTCAGACTTGATGAAAACATGCAACTGACATCTGCTACGAGAACACAGAAATTGGTTTCTGAGTGAGTTTAGCTGATTTTCTCACCTGTGTGAGTGTCACTGATGATCTCCCCTTCCTCACAGCTTTGGAAATCCGGGATCTGCAGCTCTTCCCCTTTCTCTACCCAGGAGAGCACATGGGTTTTGGAGACTGGAAATCCTATTCCGTAAGCAATTAACCAAGTGCTCATCTTGTTCATTAAGGTTTGTGCCATTACTGCTTCCAGAGCCAGGATCTGAGTCTCTCACTCAGAGAGGCTCCTTCCCCACCTTGCAGGTAAAAGTGCATCCCCAGCTTCCTCGGGAATGGCTGAGCTGACTCCCCAGGGGAACTGAGTACTCTGCTGCACTCTTCAGGGTACAACTCAGTCTCCCTTAGGGCCCATTCCATACTTGGTAGGACAGGAACATGCTGATCATAAGCAGAGTGCTCGAAGTCTTTCAGGACTGACAGATACCCTCAGCCAGTGCTCAGATTTGAGCTGCCATGTTCGATCACTAGGGCTGAGAGGGAAAGGATCCAGCAGAGCTCAGGACCCCTAAGGGCTCTGTCCACAAAGCTCTTGGCTGGGAGCTAGACTTGCCCTGCTCTAGGGGCACAGATGCTCTACTTGGGCCAGAAGAAGGTAGGAGAAGTTGTCTGAGCAGAAAAATGAATCCTTGGTTGGCTGTTTCAGGCCCTGTCTATGCTCCATATTCCTGATCCTGACTGACGGTCTCTGGGTGGGCCCTGCCAGCTGCCCAGCCAGAGCAGTGTTGGGCTGTTTCTGGGGCTAGCAAAAGTGGAGACGGGCTGTGCTGCTTCTCTGCTGCTCGTGTGTGTTCCTGCAGCTCAGCTCCCCCTCTGCAGCCTTGGATCTACTCTGCCAGCAGAAATCATGTGGTTTTCCAGCCTTCCTCTTGTGGCCAGCCAGGCCTCCCATTTGGTGCCCCTCTGCACTGCACAGACTACCACAGGCAGGAAAGGACTCTGAATCCTTCCTTCCAGGGGCTCAGCACAATAGCACAAGGGGACCCTGCAGGCAGTAACAGCCATCGCACTCAGCCCCACAACTCTAGTGCCTGCTGTTCCTGCCTGGGCCCTTCCACTGACACCTCTGGCCAAAGCACAACATGGGCAAAATGATGGGAAGCACAATGAGACCTTAGCTGTGAGAAGAGCAGCACCACTGTGATGTCCCTGAACGTGCTTCCCCTGGGAAGGGGCATGGAGGGGACAGTCTCTCATGCAGGAGCCAGGACTACAGAGGCAGATACTCCTGATATTGTAGATGCAGGCAATGAGAGATCCTGAACCAAACCCAACCCAACTGCTCCAGAGCCCACCCAGCTTCTGTTACCCAAAGGGACAGGAATCCTTACCCAGCCAGCTCACAGCCTCATAATTCTCCTGCATCACATCCCTGTAGAGGGCTCTCTGGCTCAGGTCCAGCAGAGCCCATTCATCCTCAGAGAAATATACAGCCACCTCCTCGAAGGTCACTGGCTCCACCATGGCCATTTCCTGTCCCTGGCTCTGCAGTCTAGGGGCTGAGCTGGAGATAGACATGGGTGTTCTACAGCCTAGTAGGGAGAGAAAGGCAAATGGAGATATTTCAGAAAGGGCTTTAATCCTTTCCACACCCCACATCTGCCCAGACTCTGTCCCTGGTGACAAACATGCTAGACTCTGCTTTTTGGGGCAAATGATGAATCTAGATATTCCATAAACATCACACCGAAGTTAGATTCCAAAGCCATATTTATTTCTCTCAGTACATGGCTTGAGTTACATTAGTACCCCTGCAACAATGGGATTTAGTTTTCAGCACCCAGTGTTTCCGCTAACAAGCCACATATTTACCTGTCTGAACATGGACGTAGATTAAATTTAATTTAGGCTGCTATATTTATAATCCCTAGTCTTCATTGATTGATTTGCAGCACAAACTTTGGTTCTCTCATCTGACAGACTTTATAAACCCTTTCCACAACAGAGAATCAATGAAGTTAATACAAGTACTCAGATGCACAGGGCTCAACAATTACTGTAATCTACTCGCCCGTGGCTAATCCTCTTCCCTATGAAACATTTGTGCCTCTTTTCTAGCCTGAAATTCTCCAGTTGCAGCTTTCACTTAAGATTTTGGAAAGTGGCTGAGACCTGCACGCTTCCAAGACATTAGGCAGGAAATGCAGGGTCTGGAATGGACATTGGGTGAAGACAGCTTGGGGTAAGGGTTTGGGATGCAGGAGTGAGAGAGGGGTCATGGAAGGAGTTTGGGTGAAGGAGGCAGATGTGACCTGGGGCACTGGATCAACCAATTACTCATTAAATATTTAAAATAACATTAGAGAAGTGGCTGAGTGGACATATAATAAGGGGCTCAAGGTTTCTTACCACTGAGAGCTCTTGTATGTATAAATACAGGAAGAGGACAAAGTCGGGGTATGTGGCATGGGGAGCAGAGAATTAGGAAAGGAAGGGAGAGGTTGGGGTGCCAGAGGCAAGCTCTGGTCAGGAGACTTACCTGAGTGACTCGTGTCCAGCAGCCAAGCACCTCTCTCAGACAGGGAGGGAGCCTAACCAACCCTCGAACAGGCTGTGAGGCCACGTGGGCGTATGAATAACTGAGTAGGAGAGGATGTGGAACGGTGCTTCCTTTCTGGCCAGAAACTGGCCAATGAGATTGTCCTGGGGGTGGAAGCAGCACCTGAAGCCATCCCCTCTCCCCACTTCCAGGGCTCACTGTTGCTTGCTGTGTGGCTTGCAGATGGGGAGTGGCAAGCACGGAAGAATGGCTGGCAGGGTGGTTCCAGCCCATGGGCTGTATTTTGCCCAGGCCTATCCTAGATTAAAACAGCTCTTAGGGATCCACCAGTTTCTCGCCATCAACAAACTGATACCATGGAAGCCAGTCAGCTCTCAACCTTTCAGCCTAGTTGTTTGAAACCAACCCCATATGGCAATCAACTGAGCAGTAAAATCTGAGCCCAAAGGTGCCATCCATTGTGTGCTTTAACTTCACCCTTTCAGCATCACACCCCATAGATCAGTGTTTCTCAAAGTGTCCACAGGTCCCCATACAGTGCCCCTGGGTCTCCTCACTGATAAGTGGGTGAGATTTAGGGCTGTGCGTGCCATAGTCACTGAATTTAGTTGTAACTTTAATGACAATTCTATGAAGATGTCTTCACTAGAATTTTCTCATTTAAACAATCTCCACTTCCAAACTCACCTTGTCTGAAAACTCCCAGGGATTTTCCTCTTGCTCTTTCCAGTGCAGAGGGCAGAGTGTCTGGTGGGGGGAATGGATAAGAGAGATGAGATTCCAGGCTCTCCTATTTATGACCATGTCTCCATGCTGCGTTTCCATTGTATCGGAGACCAGACCGAGACCCACTCAGGTGTTTAATATGGAAAGATCTGAAACAGTCTGTGTCCTCTCACTGTGCACCTCCCAGCAATGGAGCCAACATCCCTGCAGCCTCACACCCATCCCAGAAGAGACAAGATGTAAGTGAGATTTACTTTTTCCTCCTCATCCCTTCCCACCTGGTTTCTCGGTCACTTACTGCCTCTTGCCATAACCTAGATCTGTGCTAGGGGAAGACGCTGCCATGACATTAACTTTATCTATTTTGATCTCTTGACACTAACTGGAGTTTCACAGTTTGCAAACACGTGGTCTATTTGCAAGCAGTTGGGTCTGTTTGCTCAGCGTCTCTAAGGAGAGCAGCATGATAGGGCTGTCATTCTCCATGTGGGAATTGAGGCAAGTGAAGGTTGGCTTCAGAGGCCAGATTCAATAGTTTGTGATACTTAAACAACTTTCCCTTACGCCATCCCTCCTAGATACCTTTGAATTCCCTCAGAGTCTCCGACAGCATAATCATTTTCTGGGAGAAACCACTGACTTGCTCTTCCAGTTCCGGGGAAATCTCCTCTGGTGGCTGGAACTGTCCTGTCTCACACCTGCACAGAAACAATTCCATTTACAGATGATAAGATCTGGCTAGTGAGTCTCACTCTAACCAGCCTGGAGTTAGAATTCCTCCAATTCTCCCAGCCTGAGAGCAGGAGCAACACAGCCCATGGCTGTGCAACCTTCCCCCAAAAGGTCCCATTGCTGTTCTTCACCTCTGGCCTGGAGAGACCAGCTGGGGACAAAAGTGGAATTGAGTCTTGATGACCAATCCTTCACTCCTTGGTGCTGAGGGACTGGAGGTTCCCAGGTGAAGGACTGCAGGAATCTGCCCACTAGGAACTAGACTGAGACACCAGCTTCCCCCTCCCCAGCTCCTTCCCCATACTTCTCCAAACAGCCCTCAGGTAGGACAGACTTTGGGTGCCTGCTGCCCTGGCCTAAATATGCCCACTAGTGACAGACCCATATTCCAGCCCCACAGTCCTGAGGCAGCCAGTCCCCAGGGAGGTGACAGTTCTAGGAAATATGTGAAGTCAGATTGTGCCCCTGAATGGAGAATTCCAGAGTCTGTGGTGCAAGGGTGAGAGCCTCAGAATTAAGTGAGTCAGAGACATTTGTATCAACATCTGGCTGTGGAGCCCTGGGGAAGAGGTGGTCCTAACATCAGCATCAAGCTCTTTTCCTGTGCTGTGCAGCATGACAGAAGGCTCTTCCCCTGTGCTGTGCAGCATGACAGAAGTGCGAGCCACGTACCTGTTCAAGGTGTTTCTGACATCCTAGGGAAAAGAGACAGAAAAGCATCTCAGCCGTACTGGACACACACAGGGAAGACATTTTGCAAATATGGGGAAGAGATGCCCTGACCTGGCCCCAGGGCCATAGATTCCATGCGCTAATGGTGCTTTGCCATCTCTGATAGGTCTGGGCCTGTGACTCTGCAAAGCACAGAGATCAGACCCAGATCTGACGGCTGGACCCCAGCGCTTGTTGTTTAGGAGCCTCTCTTCCTTGTGTGGGGAGCTGGGATGATTCTCCCTCAGTCTCACCTGCAGGAATTCACTCACTGGCTTCTGACACTTCCCCTCCAGCTCACCGATCTGCTTGCTGAGACAGGAAATCTGTGTGGAGAGTTTCCTGTCAGCATCAGTTTGGAGCCTCCCAATGTCCTCATCCAGCTTCTCCAGCTGAGCCAGCAGGAGTTGCTCTTGTTCCTCCAGGAACTGCTGTAGCTGCTGAAACTCAGCCACAATCTTCTGCCTCTTTGCTTGTGTCTGTTTCTGTATGAAAACAGGGAAAGGGTTGGTCAGGGACATGGATGGAGCCCAGGCCCTTTCATGGGGAGATTAGTGCACACCACGGATAACTTCTTGGAAAACCCTAAAATTTATGACATTTGACTGTATTCTGTGGGTATTAGGCAGAGGCGTCCCTCTCAGCATTTTCTTTGGCCCGTATCCCTCTGAAAGGGATGTCCCCATGTCTGCCCCAGGCAGCATCTTCTGTTATTTATGGGTACTGGCAATTCAGACCCAGAGCAGGAGGAGGCAGGACTCAGCAGCAACCTGACAGAGATACTGAGGAAAGAAAAAGAAATAAAGTGAGTAGACTCAGCAGACAGCCCTTCACAGGGACGTTCAATTCCCTTGGGAAGGATTTCTGGGAAAGTCACAAGAACTAGACAGTAACTCATCCTCTGACCTGGAAGGTCAGAGCCGGTCTATGCATCGATCTAACCCAGCAATCCATGATCCAGGAGAAACATCAAGAAGCCCAACCTCATAAAGGAAAAGTCAGTGGACATGATATGCATTGACTTTAACAAAGCTTATGATACAGTCTTCCACAATATTCTTGTCAGCAAGTTAAGGGAGTATGGATGGAAGAAATGGACTGGAAGGCAGATAGAAAGCTAGCTAGACTGTCAGGATCAATGAGTAGTGATCAACGGCTCGATGTCAGGTTGGTGGTCAGTTTCTAGCGGAGTGCTCCAAGGATCAGTTCTAGGGCCGTTTTTTTTCAACCTCTTTATTAATGACCTGAATGGGGGGATGGATTGCACCCTCAGAAAGTCTGCAGATGACACTAAGCTAGGGAGAAGGTAGATATGCTGGAGGACAGGGATAGGGTCCAGAGTGACCTAGACAGATTAGGAGACTAGGACAAAATAAATATGACGAGGTTCAACAAGAACAAGTGTAGAGCCCTACACTTGGGACAGAAGAATCCCAAGCATTGTTACGGCTGGGGACCGAATGGCTAAATAACAGTTCTGTAGAAAAGGACCTGCGGATTACAGTGGTTGAGAAGCTGGATATGAGTCAACAGTGTGCTCTTGGAGCCAAGAGAGCTAATGGCATATTAGGAGGATCATTGCCAGCAAATCTAGACAAGTAACTATTTCCATTTATTCGGCTCTGGTGAGGCCACATCTGGAGTATTGTGTCCAGTTCTGGGCCTCTCACTACAGAAAGAATGTGGACACGTTGGAGAAGGTCCAGCGGAGGGTAGCCAAAATGATGAGTGAACTGGAGTACGTGACCTATAAGGAGAGACTGAGGGATTTGGGTTTGTTTAGTCTGCAGAAGAGAAGAGTGAGGGGGGGATTTGATAGCAGCCTTCAACTTCTTGAAGGGAGGTTCCAAAGAGAATGGAGAAAGGTTGTTCTCAGTAGTGATGGATGGCATAAAAAAGAGCAATGGTCTTAAGTTACAGTGGAGAAGGTCTAGGTTGGATATTAGGAAAAACTATTTCACTAGGAGGGTGGTGAAGCACTGGAATGGGTTACCTATGGAGGTGGTGGAATCTCCATCTCTAGAGATTTTTAAGTCTTGGTTTGACAAAGTCCTGGCTTAGTTGATTTACTTGGGATTGGTCCTGCCTTGGACAGGAGGCTGGACTTGATCTCCTGAGGTCTCTTCCACCTCTCTGATTCTAAGACCACACAGGAGTTGGCTTCATAACACAGCCCTCCCACTGCCAGTCAGTCCCTGCCGGTCCATAGCCACAAGCACTCACCAGATACTCCTGGCTTTTCCCCTCTGCTGTCGCTTTCCATTCCAGCAGCTTTTCTCTCTCTTCCCTCAGAGCCTTCAAATGGGCTGCCAAATTTTCCTGAAGAAACAGAAATAAGCACCAAGGCAAACCCCATGAGATTTTGGGAGCCCATTTGTCTGCCTTTAAGCAGCACAGACCCAGTTTTGTAAAGCTCTGTTCCTGTCAGGTAGGCACCAAGCCCTGGACGTGGCTTTGTCCATTGAAAAAGAGACAGGAGGAGACAGCAGATGAAACAGGATGGCTGTGAGAGCGAGGGACAGATTGGTGGTGGCACCTCCGTAAAGAATGACGCAAGTGGGCATTAGGGAGGCAAAAGGGGTTAAAAATACCAATCACATAACCGATTACAATTTAATCAGTTACAGTCTTTTTAGCCATGACAGTCATGGCTGGTAACAGATGTGGGCTCTCCTGGGGTCGGGGATCTCTCGTGAGGTCTTCCAGGGGTGGCCACAAGGGCTGCCAGCCAACAGGGACTCTCGGCAGCTGAAGACTAATGTTAGCTGCCAGGAGTAAGTGAGCCGGGGCGGTGGAGAGTTTAAGTGGTAACTGGCACCGATAAGCATTATCTCATCAGTTAATCAGATTGAACTCTTGCTACAACCCAGTAAAATCCCAGTGGTGACTGGCTTGGACCTGCACTGCCTGGAGCCCTGCTGTCCAGCCCAGTCACCTCCTCTAGCACTGGCTGCAGCATCTGAGTTTAAACCCTCATGGAGCAGCTCAGGAGTTCAGCATCCTAGTGAAAAACCTCCTCTCCCTGTTGGGCATGCGGCCTTTAGCAAGGCATCTTTCCCTGCTAAGGGACAAACTTTATCACTTTTCACTGATGCTCAGAGGCAGAGGAAGTGTAGCCTGGTGCTTAGTGTAGCCATGGACTAAGCCTGGAGAGTCCAGTGTTTGGGCTAAACTCTATCACTGATGGGCTTGGTGATCACGAGCAACTTCCTTCTCCACATTCCCTTCCTATTGTTTGTCTAATGGGAGTGTGACCTGCTCAGGGCAGGGATTGTCACTTGATGGGTGTTGTACAGGACCCAGATGCCATTGCAGGTCTACAAGGCAAATGACAAATTATTACTGCTCCTTATCCAATCAGTAACAGCTTGTAAACTCTTCTCCAGTCCCAAGGCAGCTCACTCCCATAGACTGGCCTTCAGCTCCTGTGATCTAAACCTCTCTAAGGGTGTGTCTAAACTACATGGCTCCGTCGATGGAGCCATGTAGATTAGGCTGATCGGCAAAGGGAAATGAAGCCGTGATTTAAATAC